ACCTGAGCCGAAGGCAGTCGCTTAACCAACTGAGCCACCCAGGCGCCCTAAAAAATTTTTTTTAAATATTTTAAATGTACAGACTTCTTTCAAGGGTCAAGTTTGTACCCAGAAAAACATGCTGGTTATGATTACCTTTTTTTTTTTCCTTTTAAGGCAGGCCCCCGAGGAATTACTTGGCAAACACTCTGCCCACTCTGAATTCCTAAATGGGCTTGCCTAATGACAAAATTCCCACTCGGTCGGGGTGGGGTGGGCTCGGGGTCGGGGTCAGACCCTTCACCAACGCAGACGAGGTGGGCAGGCCGCTTCCCACGGCCCTGACAGTGATCCAGGGAAGAGCCGCGCCTCAAACAGGTTTGGCTCGTGTCCTTCAAACCCAAGGACGCCACAGGGCTCCGTCCCGCTTCCACAACCCTCAGAAACGGCCCTGGCGCCCTGCCCTCGGAAGGCCTCGCCCGGCGCTGCCCTCCTCCCACTTCCCTGTTTTAGGCGAACACGCGCTCCCCGAAGAGCAAGGCAGGCCACAGAGACCCAGCTCGCACCAGGGCAGGGTCACCGGGCCCCGGCGGCGAGGCCCTCAGTCCGCGGGGTGTCAGGGTGAACCCTGACTGAGGAGAAACAGGCCCTCGCAACCCTGGCCCCGGAGCGCTCCTGGGGACGGGAACCGCCGTCGGCCGGAACCGGGCGCCTCCCCCTCCTTCCCGGGAGCCTAAACTAACGACGACGCCCACCGCGACCCCAGAACGGCTGCCAGGCACTCACCCGAGCGGAGGGGCAGGCCAAGCGGCCGTCCCGTCGCGGGCACCCTCGCTCTAGGAGCAGCCCGAGGGTTTCCGGGGTCGCTCTAGACCGCTTGGAGGCCGGCGCTTCTCAGTGGCACTTCCGGAGGCGGAGTCCGACGGCAGTCGGCCAAAGGCAGGACCCGGATGAGGGCCCCGTACCGCGGGGTTCTCGTGCTTGGGTTCCCCCCCCCCCCCCCCCCCCCCCCCCGTATACTTCTCTGGGTCTGACCTCCCTCGGTGCTGACCCCTCTGGCAGCCTCTGTAGCCAGTATACCAGTAATGACCGCGACAGCCCCGGATTTGGGAAAGCGGCCCCGCTGGCCCTTCCCTGGTTCCAGCCACCCCTCGAGCCCCCGCTGGGTGGTGGCCAGCCCACGTGGTGCGTGTCCCGGGGGTGAGGAGGCGTGGCGGACCTCATGGTCCCACTTCCTTAAGTCCGCGGGTGGGGAAACAGCACAGGGGTACAAAGTACACTGATTGCTTTTTTAGGATTTATTTATTTTAGAGAGGGAGATGGGGGGTAGGGGCAGAGGAGAGACAGAATCTCAAGCAGATTCTGCTCAGTGCAGAGCCTGCTGTGGGGCTCGGTCCCATGACCCTGACATCAGACCTGAGTTGAAACCAGGAGTCCCTCCCTTAACTGTGCCACCCCAGGCACCCCCAAAACACACCGACTAAAGCGAGGGTGGAAGGCGTTTGGGTGGTATGAGGACCACAGAAAATCGTGGGATCAGAAACTATTAATGTTTTGGAGGAAGGGACAGGGCATTGAGGAAGATGGAGTTTGTCAGAGAAATTGATCGTGGAAGACAGCTGCGTTCCTGGTGGAAAGACTGGACTCTACAGAAATGGATAGGTAAAGCAGGGCGCATGAGGACAGGCAGGCCGGGCGCTAGAACAGAAGCCCTGAGGGCATTGTGACTTCCCAGACCCTTCCAGAATGGGATGTCTAGTGGTGGAACCGGATTTGCAAGGGGCTTTAGATATTAGTCCTTTAAGTTTACAAATCAAGTACGATCCTGTAATGACATTTGACATTTCAAATTAAATATAAGAAAAATCAGAAGTATAGTATTCTACGTGCTTTTTCAAATTCCATCAGCCTCTCAGAGATTCTAATATGCCTTCCCTTTCTTTCCTTCTTGAGTGTCATCGATCTAATGCAACTTCCTACTACGACACAATCTCTAGTCTACAGTATCCGGCACAGTGGAGTCAGCATCACAGAAGATGCACTGCTTAGTTGCTTGCTGTACAGCTCCAGTTAGAACCTTTTTCTTGTGTTGAACAAAAATATACCCCCTGGTGATGTTTGTTGTTCCTGTTGAGATCCTGAGACAGTAGATGGCACCATTACTTCCTCCTCTTCATTAATAGCTCTTCTAATATTCTAGGATCGCTATGAGTTTGGGGTTTTTTCCTGAGTTGCCATTTCCCCACAAGTTGTACCAATTAGACTGCTGCAGTTCTGCAGGAGAGGTGAGCAAACTGTGCCAGTGGTGCATTTGTGTCTTAAGTTTTAGCTGACTCAGGCCGTTTGCTCCAGTGAGAGTACCTTAGGAGGCTCTCATTTAAGAGTCCACTTCTCGGGGGGCGCCTGGGTGGCTCAGTCGTTAAGCGTCTGCCTTCGGCTCGGGTCATGATCCCAGGGTCCTGGGATTGAGCCCCACATTGGGCTCTCTGCTCAGCGGGAAGCCTGCTTCTCCCTCTCCCTCTCCCCCTGCTTGTGTTCCCTCTCTCACTGTGTCTCTGTCAAATAAATAAATAAAATCTTAAAAAAAAAAAGAGTCCACTTCTCGGGGCACCTATGTGACTCAGTCAGCTGAGCATCCAACTCTTGGTTTCAGCTCTGGTCATGATCTTTGGGTTGTGGGCTCCGACTCTGCACGTTGAAGAGTCTGCTTGTCCCTCTCCCTCTGCTCCTCCCTCCGTGCTCTCCTCTCTCTTTAAATAAATAAAATCTTAAAAAAAAAAGTCCACTTCTCTTCAGTAGGCATCAATCCCTAACAAAAAGTAGTTAGAAACTAATTTTGATTTTGAGCAAAATTTTCAACAGTTCTTCAGATGACTAGGTGGCAACGGTTAGCCAACTCATAAAGTTTGTCGTTTTTATCTTACACTCTGTTGCTTCAAAGAAAAAATATATGAACAACTATTCCCAAGGGATTGAGCACTTCCTTGGTCTTTCCCATATGCCCACCATTGCACTAGGCATGGATAGTTACGAAAGAAAGAAAATATTACACCAGAATTGACACAGGCTCTAAACAAGGGTTTGTTTTCCCTGACTGCTTTATCTCCACCAGCACCATCATCTGAGGGTTTATAGGATGCCTTATCCATTAGACATACCTTAAAATGAGGAACCCACTTTATGGTCAAGGAGGTCTGACAATGAGCTTGTAACCACAGAATTCATGGTGCTTACTCATCACCCAGAAGCAGCTATCCAATAGAACTGTGGAATGGCAGGGGCACCTGGGTGGCTTAATTGGTTAGGTCTACTTTTGGCTCATGTCATGATCCCGGGGTTCTGGGATCGAGCCCCGTGTCGGGCTCCCTGCTCAGTGGGGAGCCTGCTTCTCTCTCTCCCTCTGCAGGTCCCCCTGCTTGTGCTCTCCTGCTCTCTCTCTGTCAAACAAATAAACAAAATCTTAAAAAAAAAAAAATGACAACTGTGGAATGGCATATTGAAGACCCAGCTAAATTACAACCTGCAAAGTTGGGGAGCTGTCCTCTAGGATACAGTATTTGCACTGATACTTATTGAACCAATAACATATATATGATATTTTGTCTCCAATAGAAAGATTAAGTGGGTACAGGAACCAAGGGGTTGAAACAGGAGCAACCCCTATTACTATCATAGGCAGTAACTCACTTGTGGAATTTGTGCTTCCTATCTCCAAACCCAGAGTCTCCTTGGTTATGGTTCTGATTCGCAGAAAAGAACATTTCTTCTAGGAGCTACATTAAATGTTCCAGTGAACTGGAAAGTGAGAATGTCACCAGGCCACTTCAGGTTCCTTGTGCCAGTAGATCAACAGGCAAAGAATGGAATTATTATAAAGGTCCCCCACAGTCTCTGCCACACACGCTACATAAATACAAAAACATACCGGCCATCTGCATTCAATAACCTACGTTCTTGAACCTTTTAGGCACTTTAGTGTAGGAATGAAGGGGGGGGGTGGTAGGGATGAAAGGGTTTAGACAAGAAAAACAACGCATAACAATGTGATGGCTCTTGGAGATGACTTGGAACACTGGAAGGAAATTTGAGGAAGTTTGTAGAGGAAGAAGTTCTAGGACTACAAGGTCTTCAAGGAGGACCATAGTTTAGTGAGCCAGCCAGGGATTAAGAAGCAAAAGATCTACTCAAGTGGTTTATTGATGAGGAAGTAGAAAGAAAACAGCGACAACCACAGCAAGGTCAAACCTCATAGGGAATGGGATATTATTTAGGGCTTGGAAGGTTACTCAATCGACTGGACATTGGTTGCCTCTGTAGCATGTGGCTCTAACTCTGGTGGGCTTTCCATTGTGCTCAGACTTGTCTTGGAATTTCAAGCGTGTCAGTCTTTCAAGGTCTTGCTTATGGTTTTATAAAAGGTGAGGTTTCTTCATCTTCTCCTCAAGTAATGGTAAACGCCGTATAACTATTGTGCTAACATTTTGACAGCAAAATTGGATTTACTGTAGTAATTACATTATTATGAGGCCGAAAACTCCCTGGTAACTTTAGTCAAGCTCAGAATCTCACCACTATCTAGTACTAAAGAAGTTTATTGCCCATAGAAGAAATTTTTGAAAATACTGCCCATTCAAATGGCAGTACATAATCAGGGTCCCCAGAGAAGCCGCCACTTTGGCTTTGTGAAACCATTCATTCTTGCCTTTGAGATTCCTCAATCTACATTTTTTCTGATACAGACACACCATCACTAAGCAGTATTGTTTGATAAGAACTAGAATTCTTATGATTACTGCCATCAATAAACGTGTAAGTAATTGAGCAGGATGGTATCAAAGGAAACTTAAGCCTCCTTTTTCGAGGAGGGAAGAGCTGAGCTGAGGTGACAGATCCCCAAAGCCAGACTGGCGATTGGAGAACAAGGCCGCAGTCCTCCCGCGTTCCTAGAGAGAACCCCGAAGGGCAGCCCGGCCCCGAAAGGCTGGTGTTGACGCACTTCCGGCTTCTGTGAGCCAGACGGACGTGCGCGCGCATTGAGGGTTGTGGCGAGCGGAGGCCTGCGTGCTGCTTTTCGACCTCCCCAGACTCACTTCCCTCTTCTGTCCCAGCACCCTGGACTTCTCCGGGGTTCACGGTGAGACGTGGGTCCGGCCAGGGAGGATGGGCGGGGACGGAGGTGGATGTGTAGAGCCGTGTTCCGCGACTTCCCTCGCCAACGACCGCCCCCGACGGGTGGAGGAGGGTCCACGTTCCCATCCTGCATCCCAGCCTCGGCCGGAGGACGCGCACTCTCCCAGCAGAGAACAGCCCCGGATCCGAGCGGGAAGGGAACGGCGTTTTGTTTTCCGGCTAGGATGAGGTGCCTCTGGGACCGGGAAGAGGCAGTCCGCTGCGTGCCCCGCCTGGGCTCTCTTGTCCTCGGTTTTCACTCCGGGGGTAGCGGACAAAAGGAACCTGGGCTGATGTCTGTGTTCCCCAATTGTCCGCCTTTGCTTTCCTTCTGGTGAGGGCTTTTTTACCTGAGTTCTTAAGGACCCAAAAATGTAAAATGAGGAAGACCCACCACCAAGCTCCACGGGCTTTTTTTTATTTTTTATTTTTTAAGGGTACAAGTTTGCTAAGCCTCATGAATGTTTGCAGATCATGTGCTCACCCCCAGACCCATCACCAATAATGGTGGTGATTAGTGTTTGAAACCTAGTGAATAAAGTGATTTTGGACGCAGTAGGAAAAGATGATAGACACTTCACTCTTTTCCTTGCAGTTTCTGAACTTTCTGATTTTTAAATGTCTGATTTCAGACATCAGGTGGATTTTTCAGTTGTGCAAGGTAATTGTGCTTGACCTCAAGCCGTGAGTGGTGAAGGGGATTTGTGAGGATGCAGTGGAAAGTGTGTTGGGCTAATAGGAGACCATTTCCAGTGCTCTCTGTGCCACTGATTAGCAGGATGATCTTGGACAGAACATCACCAGGTCTCAATTTTGTCCTAAGTAAAATTAACTAGATTATCTCAAAGGGTCCTTCCCACTTGGAAATCCACTGGTAAGTGAATTTAACTGAAAAATCCACCTGGGCCAAACCTAATGTCCCATCTCCATTTCCTGCAGTGCCACCAGAAAGATACTTTTATTATTGAGAGAAAGTGGCAAAGGACCAAACAAACAAGAAAACACAACACAGATCAGTGCTGAAAAGATTGTATGCAATTAATCAATCAGTTGCAGAGAATTCATTGAAAGCATATCAATGAAACCTATTTGCTGGAGAAGTAGGTTGGTTACACAGTGCAATGGGAGGTAAGTAACTTACCCATGGACACATAATTTATTTCTGTACTTTAAACCTGTGCTATTATAATACTCCTCCCATTCTTATTCACATGTTTTACAAATAACTTTACAGTTTAATTTATAAATGGCATGCCCTTCCAAATGTTGAAATCCCAGACCTATAACAAATTTGTTGATCTTTCTAAAAATGGGCAGCAAATACTGACCTTGTATTCAAACAAGTGTTTTTTAAATGTCTATGAGTTGCAAGGAACTACATAGAATGACTTACAGGCAACGATAAGAGCAAAAGCGCAAAGGGATAGTCTAGTTGAGATAAGGCATGAAACCATTACAAATGAAATTTCAGGGTAAAAGCCATAAAAATATTATACATACCAAACTAGGAATGGAAACAGTGAGTCTGAAGTTGAGAGAGGACTGGGTTCTGGGATCATTCAAGTAATCTAAAGTAAAACCCTGTCTTTCTGCTGCCCTTGCCCAGAATATTAGCACCACCACTCCTTGCAGGCCTACAGGTCAGGGAGGAGTGACTGTGCCCCTGACCTCAGCCCTGTATCTTTGGAGTTTCACTTCCTCCGTGTCCCTTCATTTTGATTCATACTCCCACTATGAGGGAACGCATCTAGGAACATGTGATCTGATTCCCCCTTCCCCGCCTTTAAAACTTTGACCCAGATGTCAAAGACTGAGATGCCTTTTCCTTCATCTTAAAAGACCACAGACAGATGGGATTTTTCAGAAGATCTGTCACTAAACATGGAGAGAAATGAGCAAAGAAAATTTAATAGTTGGAAGGTGAAGTTCAGCAACACAAATGGTGACAGAATATAAGTGCTGTGAGATGGGGACCGAAGCAGGGGGGGCTATCAGGAAAGGTTAAGTGGGTTTTGGTATTTTTAAAATACAAATACAGGTTTTATTTTTTTCCCCTGTGCCCCAGTGGGTCATCCTGTACACCCCACTCAGATGGTCATTTTAAGAATGACCAGATCAGGGCGCCTGGGTGGCTCAGTTGGTTGAGCGACTGCCTTCGGCTCAGGTCATGATCCTGGAGTCCCGGGATCGAGTCCCGCATCGGGCTTCCTGCTCGGCGGGGAGTCTGCTTCTCCCTCTGACCCTCTTCCCTCTCGTGCTTTCTCTCTCTCATTCTCTCTCTCAAATAAATAAATAAAATCTTAAAAAAAAAAGAATGACCAGATCACTCTTTTATAGTGACTAGATTAACAGTGTAGCAGCACAGTTAGGACCCTGGGCTTAAGACTTGGGTTTGAGTAGTGGATCTACTATACTTTGGTGTTAGACACATTATTTAATCTGAGTTGTTTTTTTTTAAGATTTTTTTTATTTATTCATTCGAGACACAGAGATAGAGAGCATGAGCAGGGGGAGAAGCAGGCTCCCAGCTGAGCAGGGAGCCCAATGCGGGGCTCAATCCCAGGACCCCGGGATCGTGACCTGAGCCGAAGGCAGACGCTTAACCATCTGAGCCACCCAGGCGGCCCTCTGAGCTTTTTAAAATAGGAGTAATCATGTACTGCGTAAGGTTTCCGTGGGCATTAAATGAGCTGTATACAAAAACATTATGTAATGAAGTGAATTTGTCTGCACATGGATACCAAGACATTGGACTTACTGAATTGTCTTCATGACTACTCACATGAGGTGTCAGCACTACACTACAACGTTACTTTTTCATACTGCTATTAAATTTTTCTACTCTGCAGGATAGCAAAAACTGGTCTCCTGAAACATCTAGGACAAAAAGGACAGTCCTGCAGACAGACCGTGTTTGGATCAAGTGAGCCAATTCTTTGAACCTGAACACTGCTGAGTCAAGGCATACCGCAGATTGGTCTCCCCAGGCCACCCAGGAGATGGAAGGCATAGTGATCGTGAAAGTGGAGGAGGAAAATGAAGATGAGGAAGACCATTTCCAAAGGGAAAGAAACAGCATAGAATCATCCCAACCATTTCTTAGTCGGTCCACAACCATGAATGAGAGGGCCTTGTTATCATCATACTTGGTTGCGTATCGAGTAGCAAAAGAAAAAATGGCTCACACAGCTGCTGAAAAAATTATTCTTCCAGCGTGTATGGATATGGTACGGACAGTGTTTGATGATAAATCAGCTGATAAATTAAGAACCATACCCCTTAGTGACAATACGATATCACGTCGAATCTGTACGATCGCAAAACATTTAGAGGCGATGCTTATTGCGCGGCTACAGTCTGGGATAGATTTTGCAATCCAACTTGACGAGAGCACTGATATTGCAAGTTGTCCAACTCTCCTGGTTTACATCAGGTATGTGTGGCAAGATGATTTTATAGAGGATCTGTTGTGTTGTTTAAGTTTAAATTCACACATAACTGGATTAGCTTTATTTACTGAATTAGAAAAGTGCATTGTTGGTCAATATAAATTAAACTGGAAAAATTGTAAAGGAATTTCAAGTGATGGAGCAGCAAATATGACTGGAAAACATAGCAGGGTTATTGAAAAATTGTTAGAAGTAACATGTAATAGGGCTCTTTGGAATCACTGTTTTATTCATCGAGAAGCTTTGGTGTCCAAGGAAATTCCACCGAGTCTAATGGATGTATTGAAAAATGCAGTGAAAATTGTTAATTTTATTAAAGGAAGCTCACTGAACAGTCGACTTCTTGAAATATTTTGTTCAGAGATTGGAGTTAACCATACCCACTTACTGTTTCATACAGAAGTTCGTTGGTTGTCTCAAGGCAAAATACTGAGCAGAGTATATGAACTCAGGAATGAGATTTACATTTTTCTCATCGAAAAGCAATCTCATTTGGCAAGTGTTTTTGAAGATGACATTTGGGTAACAAAACTGGCATATTTAAGTGATGTTTTTGGCATTCTTAATGAGTTAAATTTGAAAGTACAGGGGAAAAACGATGTATTCCAGCATCTTGAACATATTCTAGGATTCCAAAGGACATTATTGTTGTGGCAAGCAAGACTTAAAAGTAATCGCCCTAGCTACTATATGTTCCCAACTTTGTTGCAACACATTGAAGAGAACATTATAAATGAAGACTGCTTAAAAGAAATAAAATTAGAGATAGTGATGCATCTCACTTCTTTGTCTCAAACCTTTCATCATTACTTTCCAGAAGAGAAATTTGAATCATTAAAGGAAAATATTTGGATAAAAGATCCATTTGTTTTTCACACCCCAGAATCAATCATTGAGTTAAACTTGGAGCCTGAAGAAGAGAATGAATTATTGCAGCTCAGTTCATCATTCACACTAAAGAATTATTACAAGACGTTAAGTTTATCAGCATTTTGGATTAAGATTAAAGATGAATTTCCATTGCTAAGTAGAAAGAGTATATTGTTGTTACTACCATTCACAACTACCTATTTGTGTGAACTAGGATTTTCAATCTTGACACGATTAAAAACAAAGAAAAGAAATAGGCTCAACAGTGCACCTGACATGCGTGTAGCCTTATCCTCCTGTGTTCCTGACTGGAATGAACTTATGAACAGGCAAGCACACCCCTCACATTAAATCCAATCTCCATGAAATTTTGGTTTTGTACTCTTTTAAGGGCTTTTTTTTTTAGTAGATTGTATTTAAATATTAATAAAATTATATTTGGAATTTACTGTGTTTCATTTTCCTATGTAGTATCATTTCAGGAAACTTGTTCCACTTACGCGAATCAGATGTATGTGTATCCAGAATAATGATGTGAAAATACATTTCTGCATATTACTGTCAGTTTTGAAAAATAGTACTTTTTTTTTTTAAGATTTTATTTATTTATTTGACAGAGACACAGCGAGAGAGGGAACACAAGCAGGGGAGGGGGAGTGGGAGAGGGAGAAGCAGGCCTCCTGCGGAGCAGGGAGCCCAATGCGGGGCTCGATCCCAGGACCCTGGGATCATGACCTGAGCCGAAGGCAGACGCTGAACAACTGAGCCACCCAGGTGCCCTAGAAAAATAGTACTCTTAATACGTAGTCTTATACGCAGATCTGTCCCCATCTTCACCGCCACTGCCTTGCTTCTTCCTTTCAGGCAGAGCCCCATTCAGGTTCAGTTTCTCACCATCTATGTACTTATGTGTTCTTCCTTTTTTCTTCTCATTCCAGGAAGTGAATCTTGATGCTAATCATGGTTTAACACCATTCTCACACTGGGTTTATTTAAGCATGGGCACGTGTTATAATTCTAGCTAATGAGATGCCCATGTAGAACACTCTGTCAGGATATTTTTGTGAAGGGGTCCCTTGCTCTCAAAGGGACACAAGAGGAGACAGTGTTAGGGGCATAGTTTCTGAATCTTCCCAAGTCCCTCCTTAAAAACAGAGCAACCAGGATAGCCAAACGGAAAGTCATGGACATCATCTACAGCAAAATCAGGTGACAGGGTACTACCAACAGTTAAAAACTAACACGGTCTCATGCCATTGTGTAAAAGGAAGCAGAAGAAACAAGCATCTGATAGATTTGAAAGCTGCAAAATAAAAGGTACTCATGCAAAATTTCAGTGAGCTGTATTGAGACCAGCAGCTTAAACCAAGAACAGCTTGCCCACTTCAGTAGAGGGTGAGTTTTGGGGATTAGTGATAAACGCTGGAAGCAGGATGGACCCTGTGAAAATAGAATCCAAATTGACTAAGACAGGGACAGGGGAGACCAAGTCTTATCTCTGTGTCCTTGAGGATTGTTTGGTTTCCTTTGCCCACAATCAAGATCTTTTTGTCTCCTGATTAGTGACAGTTGACCTCTGGCCAAATTCCAAGATACAGGTTTGCCTGAGCACCATCCTCATGGGCTGTGGCAGTTCATGATGGGTCTTTTCTACTAAAATCCTGCCCCTTCTGGATCAAATACCTCCTTCCTTTGTGTTCTCTCATGATGACATAACTAGTACACATATCTCACCAGCACCATTCAACCAGGGACAATTTGGAATTGCATTGACCCCTTCGGGAGAACACACATGCACATCCCAGTCACCCATCTTTATCTGGGAAGATATTGGAATGGGGAGTGAAGCTCACACAATTTGCTGCCAGAAAGAGAAAGCTGTGAAAACATCAGATACAGGCCCTTTCTCTCACTGTAGTGTGGAGCACTGTCTAGGTTAGGACTGAGGAGAGCTGAGGCTCCAGGCTCCATTTCAGAGGTAAGTTATGGTCAAGTCCTATCTCTGTGCCTCCATCAATTCATCTGTAAAATGAGGACTGAACTGCTTGCTTTCCCTGCAGAGCTTTCGAAGACCACAATTAAATGTTGTAGAACTTAAAGCACTATATAAACAGGGTGTAAGTACTCACAGAGGGGTGCCTCGTTGGCTCAGTCATTAAGCGTCTGCTTTTGGCTCAGGTCATGATCCCAGAGTCCTGGGATCAAGCCCCACATGGGGCTCCCTGCTCAGCAGAGAGCCTGCTTCTCCTTCTCCCACTCCCCCTGCTTGTGTTCCCTCTCTCGCTGTGTCTCTCTCTGTCAAATAAATAAAATCTTTAAAAAAAAAAATACTCAGAAATACATAAGAAAAAAGATATGCCACATGCTGCCATTCAGGCTTCAGAACTGGACTGACGAATTCTGTCTCTGATCCTTACTACCTATCTGACCGTGGAAAATTTATTAATTTTCTGAAGCTCAGATTGCCCAACTCTAAAATTGGGACACACATGGGATGCCTGGATGGCTCAGTCATTGAGCCTCTGCCTTCGGCTCAGGTCATGATCTCAGGGTCCTGGGATAGAGCCCCACGTCGGGCTCCCTGTTCAGTGGGAAGCCTGCTTCTCTCCCAATCCCCCTGCTGTGTTCCCTCTCCAACTGTCTCTCTCTGTCCAATAAATAAATAAATAAAATCTTTTAAAAAAATAAAATTGGGACACACTACTAAGTAGTTATTATAAATGCATTGTATTGTAAATCTACATGTGTTGGAAATACACTGGAAGCCAGTACGTTGTAAATACACTCCTAAGTAGGACTGAACTGTGTCTCCCAAAATTCATATGTTGAAGCCCTAACCCCCAATGTGACTGCATTTGGAGACAAGGGGGTAAAGTTAAATGAAGTCACAGGGTTGGCCTCATCTATAGGACTGATGTCCTTACAAGAGGAGGAAGAGCTACCAGGAGTGCGCACACACACAGGAAAGGCCATATGAGGGCACAGCAAGAAGGCAGCTGTCAGCAAGCCAAGGAGAAGGCTCAGTAGAAACCAACTCTGCTGTCATCTGGATCTCTGATTTCCAGCCTCCAGAACTGCAAGAAAAACCTCTGTTGCTTAAGCCACCCTTTCTGCAGCATTTTGTTACAGCAGCAGGAGCACATTGATATACCACGCAAAGTACCCAACACAGAAATAAACACATTATCAAATGCACAACAAATGTAACTCTTTTTTTCTTAGAAACAAGATTATAACCCAAAAGGTTTAAGGTTGCTTATCTAGACTGAGTGATGGCTTTGTCCTAACACAGTCCTATTTTCTCCTGGTCGCACTCACAACCAGTGATATATACTGTACTTGTAATATTTCTGGCCAAGGATAAAACAAAGCAGTTGCTATACTGCACCAAACTCATGATTTATTATGCTCAGAGGTACCAAGAGACAGATGTAAAGAGGTAAAACTGTCCCTGACATCAAGTCCAAAACATGCTAGTTTCTCAATTTTGGTCTTCATCCTTGAATGTCCCTAATTTTTTTATCTGCTGCATTTTCTGTATCTCTGTAGGTATTTCCTTACTTTCCTAACCTTACTTTTTCGCCCTGTGTCATTCTGATTTCAAATAGTGTCTCTTAGTTCTACTTACATGTGATCTGACAGGTTCAAATCTGTGGTCCCTCTGATTTGTGTAATTTCCTTTTTCTGGAACTTCTCTAGGTTATGTCCTTTCTCCTTAGGCCCAAGCCACCAGAACTGCACTTATTGGTGAAGTCATTCTACGATTCTGTACAAGGGCAGAAAAACACTAGTTGTACGTTTTGCCTCCCATGCCTTTTCTAATGGGTCCCATCATTAGGTTTAAGTCAAAGCACAAAGCTGGGCTGGACAGGGGCCGAGGGCCCCGTCAGGGAGGCGCTTCCCTCCACATCCTGCTGGGGCCAGACGCCACGGTGCTGACGATGCATCTCATGACCCCTCCGCCACCCGCACACCAGAACTCAGAGCCGCGGGGTCGACCCGGAAGAGGGAAGATGAGCAGAACCCCAGACCTTCAGGACAAATACAAGTCCCAGAAAGCCCACCGGAAGTGCCTCAAACCCCCCCCCCCCACCTCATTGGTGTTCTCCAGGAATCCGGGAGGTCTCGCCGTCTCGGTGGTTCCTTGAGCCACCCTAGTCTGGGAAAAAGACCAAGTTAGAAGCATTTCCTCCCCAGTGAGAAATAAATAAGGGAACTATGGGGAGAGGTGCAGGTCACAAGTTCCTTCTGCAGGGAAAGTACCTCAAGCTAATGACCGGAGCCTTAGTTGCACTCATATGGTTCCAGGACTTTTGTAAAAACAATAGAAAAATTTTATAGAGTCAATCACAGGCTTCCTCTCAGCCCCCAGTACCATAGCAAACATCTCTATACAATTCGACCAACATGCTCCATGCACCCATTTACTGATGTAATTAATTGGAACATAGATTCTACTGTTCTGTTCCTTTTGCCTTAGTCCCCTCCAACTTTTTTAATATTAAAAAGGACAAGGAAGTAGTGTCTCGAGCCAACAAATCTTGCTCTAACTTGCCCAAACTCGAGCAAATAAAATGTATGAGCCTAATGTTTTGTTTCCCTTTCCTTTTGGAGGTTTGGAAGAGAAGGTATGATGGATGTGGTGACTAACAGCAAAAAGCTTTCAAACATTAAAATCATAAAACTTTTTTTTTTTTTTTTTGGTCTTCCTGCACCTAGGAGCAATAAAGGAAAGCTGTAAGACTACAGATCAACATAGTTTTCAGCTCAGGAAGATGTTTCTGGCAATCAGAAACTGGATAACCAATGGCCAGGAAATGTTTTCTCCAGTTCAACATGTTTATTAAGCATTTGTTACATAAATGTGCCTGCAAACTGGGGATTCCTCCATCAGGGTGGGAGGTTGGGTTTGAGAATCCCATGGGACCTGTTGACAATTTTAAGATTCTGTAACTATGATTTTATGGTATCTTGGATCAGAACTATTTTTCACACAGGTGACAAAAACAGTTTCACCACTTTGCAATGTCTGATGTTTAATAATAAAAGACAGGTGTGCCTGGGTGGCTCAGTCAGTTAAGCGACACTTAATTTCAGCTCAGGCCAAGATCTCAGGGTTGTGAGATAGAGCCCCGAATTGGGCTCCATGCCTAGGGTGCTTAGGATTCTCTCTCCCTCTCCCACCCATCCCAGGTCAGGTGCCCGCACGCGGGCAACTCTCTCTTAAAGAAAAAAGCTTTAAAAAAATAATATAAGACATAATATAGTGTAGTGCCTAAGAGCTTAGCTTTTGGAGGCAAAGTGGAAAGTGGTCTGGCTGGGTTCAAATAGTAGTTCTGCCACATGCTGTGTGACTTTGGGCAAGTGAATTAAATATTGTAAACTTCAGTTTTGAAATGAGGGTGTTAAGTAAAACCACCTCATAATGTTGTAAGGATTAAGTGAGATGATCCACATAAAAGCATATGATGTTTAGAACATGGTAAATGCTCAATAAACATTAACACCAGTCTTCACTGAAGTTTTCATTCTCCATTAAGTCTTGCAACTAGTGGCTTTCAGCAAGAGCCACCCAATTCCATAACCTTTCCATTATTTCATTTCCCCCCCAAACCTTACATAAGACAGCAGCACATCCCTTTCTACCTGTATCCCATCCCAGTTCACCACAGTGAATGTCCGACAACTGAACAGCCACCTCACACCAGAAACTACCATTACTCCGCCCACCATCAGTGATGGGGGTCCTCCCTGCCTCCTGGTTGAGTGGCCAACTCCACAATCCATTCTTACAGTCAGCCTCCTAGGACCACTCATGGCACCAAATGTCTTAGATCGGGGATTTCCTAAAGCAGAGCCTGAGAAAGGGATTCGGAGCCATGTGATCTGTTGAGGAAGTGCTCTTCAGGAAAAGTTTTTTGTATCTTTTTTTTTTTTAAAGATTTTATTATTTTTTTAAGTAAATCCTACGCCCAACATGAGGCTTGAACTCATGATTCCAAGACCAGGAGTCGCACACTCCCACATCTGAGCCAGCCAGGCATCCCTTCCAGAAGTCTTTATGGGAAGGAATGAAACAGGATAGAGAAAGGCAAGAACCAAGCACGGATGCAGTCTCAAATACAGTCCTCAAAGGGAGGGTTCTGGAGCATAAATGCACCACAGTTCCCCCCATCCCCCACTGAGACAGACTTAGTGAATCAGCCTTTTGTACCCCCCATATCAACCAGCCACTGGCTGGGGGGTGCGGAGGACAGCTCCCATCCCAGCTGCGAGGCAGCTCCCATCATCTGAGGACAACTTTCCAGAGTCTCTGGAGAAGGGGGAGAGTTGTGAGCACTCAACAGCCAAAACTCAGAGTAGCTGGGGGATGGGCATGCCAGCCTGATAAAGGGGATCTGGGCAGGGCACCAACGTACAACACATACAGTCAACAAGTATTTATTGTTTATTGGAAGCCCAGCAGTCAGTAGAATCAGTTCCCAGAAGCACTCTTTCCCTGTCTCTAGAAAAGAGGCTCAAATTGACCCTCTTACCCATGTCATCTTTCCCCCCGGCCTTCCCACAAGACAGCACTAACCGGAACACGAACCCTTCTGCTCCTGGTTACAGTTTACTTTCAAATCCAACTGCAATCCAAACTGACACTTATTCTATACGCCATTATCCTGTGGAGGAGGTCTATCTCCAGGGCCACTGGGAGTTGCTAACACATCCTCCCTGGACCAAGATTCTTAATTCAACTTGGTCTAATTCCTTCCATGAACACAGCTGCCCTCATTCTTGTGGGTGACGGACTGAAAACCAGCCCACAGTTTGGCCTATTTTCTCTTCACTGTTCCCAAGGTCCCTCTCTCTTCTCCTTAAGATGTGACTGACCAACAGTTTCTCTCCTGGATTTACACGCTTAACTCCTCTTGGTACTAGCCAACTTTGTTGCTCATAGAATCAAAACGAAAACAAGGTAGAGAACGCTCCATGGAGAAATTAGAGACCATATAATGCAACGGAAACACATACCATCCAGTCTCTGAACCCCGATTTTGCCAGGATATAAATACCTTAAGTCGATTTCTTTTCAAAGGCTTTAATACTCAAGATGGGAACAATAGCTGGAGCATTCTAGTGGCTGGGATCATCGTTTCTAGAAAAGGTTCATTGCTGAGGTACCAAAACAGGTATCATGCTGAAGAGTTCTCTCTTCCTTTCACTGTGCTCTTCCCTGAATAAGCTGTCAAACAAGGCAGAAACTACAAATAAAGCTTATTTCTACTGCATTAGTGAGGCTTTTCTCAGTGTCAATGTTCTGAGATTCAACCAAAGAATGAGTGCCACCTGAAGGCTCTCCTTCATCCACCACATCCATAGGTGCTCTCTAGATTCTTAAGCATGAAGAAGCATTTCTCGATGGGGAAAGCAAACAGATATCTATTCACTGTGGATTCTCCAGTGTTCCTAAGTTCTAACTGAAGGATTTCAACATATCTGTAGGTTTGATGGTTACGTTGGAGAGAATGCTGGAAGTTGTTATTACATTCATTATAGGAGGAGGGTTTCTCTTAGGAAGGCTTCTCTAAAATTGAGTAAGAGCTGTTCTACAACAGAAACATCTATACACTTAAGGTATTTATGGGTGATCTGTCCTCTCGTGACTTCTCAGATGTTTGAAGAGGCTACAACTCCAACTGAAACTCATTCCACATTCTTTACATTGAAAGGGCTTCTCACCAGTATGGATTCGCTGATGCTGATTAAGATGTGACTTCAGAGTGAAGCCTCTGCCACACTCATTACATTGATGCGATTTCATGTTGGAGAAGGTTTTTTGGTGTTGTTTTACGTGGGAACACTGGCCAACACTTTCTCTACATATATCACATTTATTGGTTTTCTCTGCAGTGTGAGTTCTGTAATGCTGGATAAGGTCTGAACTATAACTAAAGGCTTTGCCACAGATATCACACTTATAAGGCTGCTCTTGTAACTCCATCTTCTTATCTTCAATCACTGTCAGGTTCCAACTGTAAGCTTCCTCACAAATGCCATTTTTTTCATTTCTCTGACCCATATGGAGCACCTGATGTTCAATGAGGCTAACATACTGAAAAAAGATCTCTCCACACTCATGACACTGATGGGATTTCTCTCTAGAGTGGAGTCTCAGATGCCCCGCAAGGTGGGACCGCCTCCCAAAGCCTTTCCCGCACTCATTACACTTAAAGGGTCTCTCCCCACTGTGCACACTCTGATGCTGAACAAGATGGGACCGCACTCTAAACGCCTTCCCACACAAGTGACAGGTATAGGGTTTCTCACCAGTGTGGACTCGCTGGTGCTGAGTCAGATGCACCCGCTGATTGTAGCTTTTCCCACATTCGTCACACCGAAAGGGCTTCTCCCCTGTGTGGATTCGCTGATGTTGAATCAGATGTGCACTCTGAATAAAGCTTTTTCCACATTCATTACATTTATGTGGTCTCTCTCCTGTGGCTGATTTTTTGTGCACATACGTGACTGCGTTGAAATTTATCCTCTTTGAAGAGGGCTGTCCTAGTATCTCTTTCATAGGAACTCCCTGCTTTCTATCCAACTTGCCTGGGTGCTCATGGCCTTCTCCAAAATCTTGACCTTGAGAAACAGTTCTTTGGATTCTTCCTGATAGTTCCACATCGGCTTCTGAAAATTCTGAAATTTTCTTCTTGACATTCAATTTTGTATTCTTACTTCTTTTGTCACTGCCTGAAATAAAGAGGAAATGCAAATGTCACCAGTTTGTTGTGGGGGTTTTTTTAAGATTTTATTTATTTGAGAGAGAGAGTGAGGGAGAGAGAGCATGAGCAAGCGGGGGGGGGGGGGCGGTTAGGCAGAGGGAGAAGCAGGCCCGCCGCCGAGCAGGGAGCCTGACGCGGGGCTCGATCCCAGGACCCCGGGATCATGACCTGAGCCGAAGGCAGCCGCTCAACCAACCGAGCCTCCCAGGCGCCCCTGTCACCGGTGCTTTTCCAGTAGAAACCCGAACCGTCAGGAGAAAGGACAGTCGGGTGAAAGCATGAAGTGCAGGCAGTAACAAAGTGGAGGGAGGATGCCTGCACGTGCCTGATGCCGGCGGGAGCCAAAAGAATTTGTCTCGTGAAAAGCATGAGATGAAGAGGCTCGCTAAGCAGGATGGTGAGAGTGACTGAGGCGACGTAATTGCTAGACAGGAGCACCACACCCCCGCCATCCAGGAAGGAGGGAGAGGACTCCGAAGGCAAACAGGGCTGAGGCAGAACAGAAACACAGCTGGATGGAGAGAGCAGGTAAGAACCGAAGGACAGGAAGCACAGGACTCTGAGGGGGACAGGCAGTGGGAGGGATACGTGATGAGGACCCAGGACCAAGGAGAAGTGAGCCAGTAAAAACTACTGTCGAGAGGGTGGGTGATAGGCCCCTCTCTGCTCTCGTCACTCTTCGCCCTCACCTGAGCTTGTTTCCCCACCCGGGCATCGAACCTCTGAATGCTCACCACCCTTCCGATCTGCTCCTGGGCCCAGACCACCAGCGCCACAAGGGCACAAACTGTGTGGTTCTGTTTACTGCTCTACCCCAACCACCTAGCACCACAGGCTCACGACAATGAGGGCTGCGTGAGCGCACAAAAGATCCCTCTCTTGATCCAAAAAAAAAAAAAAAAAAAATGGCGGGGGCAGGACAGGTGAGTGTTAACTAGGAAACTAGTCGTAAGAACAACTGTCGAGAAGATAGGAAAGAATAGAGACTACTTTAAAGTAATTGCTTCCCCAGGTCCGGAGTGCTATTGGATGCGTTTCCCCAAGGAGGCGGCCACCAAGCAGAAGGGACAAAACTGGCAGAGGAGAAAGCTCAGCTCCAGCCAGACTCTAAAGGCCTTGAGAACTTCATAACCTTCTATTCCATGATAGGGAAGGTGCTAGTCACTGTTAATGAGAATGACAAGTAGCTGCGCTTGGGGACGTCAAAGGCAGATTTTAAAAATAAATACTTTAAAGCCAGTCTTAAGAGTTATGTGAAAAATATTAATAAGAGCCTCTAAGTTCACAGCATGATTGACTGTGATCTCTTCCATACATAAGTTTAACATCACTTGAACAGCTAAGAAAATATAAGTAAATGAACAGAGAAAATTGTTCAACCTTACGGATAACCAAACTAATGAAAATGAATACAGAAAAGACATCTCTTCTGCTTACCCCATTTGTGGGAAAAAAAAATGTCTGGGGCACCTGGGTGGCTCAGTTGTTAAGCGTCTGCCTTCGGCTCAGGTCATGATGCCAGGGTCCTGGGATCGGGCCCCGCGTCGGACTCCCTGCTCGGCGGGAAGCCTGCTTCTCCCTCTCCCACTCCCCCTGCTTGTGTTCCCTCTCTCGCTGTGTCTCTCTCTGTCAAATAAACAAATAAAATCTTAAAAAAAAAAAAAAAAAGGTCTGATCACCCTGGGAGAAATATAGTAAAACTAATATGTGGTGACTGGAAAAGCAATTTGGCAGTAGGTATCAAGACCCATAAAAGTGTTTTTGGCCTTTCATCCACTAATCCCACTTCTGGGCATCTATTATAAGGAAATAATCCTACTTTTTTTAAGGCATAGGTTTGTTTTTTTTTTTTAAGGCACAGTTATCAGGACAAAAGAGAAAAAATTAGAAGTTCAACCGAGGGGGCACCTGGGTGGCTCAGTTGGTTAAGTGACTGCCTTCGGCTCAGGTCATGATCCTGGAGTCCCGGGATCGAGTCCCACATCAGGCTCCCTGCTCAGCGAGGAGCCTGCTTCTCCCTCTAACCCTCCCCCCTCTCATGTGCTCGCTCTCTCTCATTCTCGCTCTCTCAAATAAATAAATCTTTAAAAAAAAAAAAAAAAAGAAGTTCAACTGAGGAACAATTAAGTGTTGATGTCTCCAAACAACGGCAGGTTGTCAGAAATAACAAACAGGAGAGCCAAGCCACACCGGACAAAGTGTGTCTAAGATTTAACTGTACCCTCTGAATACACCTACATAAAAATAAGCTTATAATAAAAAAGATAGAAGGAATATGCTAAATAATAACAGTTCTATTAGGATGGTGGGATTGTGGGTCTTTTTTTTCCCTCCTGCTTTCTTTCCTCCAAACTTCCTGTTCTAGTATTATTTTATCATTTTGAAATAAAATGTGAGTTAACAAAATTGAGAAAAGGAGAAAGAGGGAGGGAAGCATGCGAGAGAGAGCCAAAATCTTCATTTACTACAACAGAAAGGCAAGAGATAATGTTTAAAATCAGTTAAGTCGGGCAACAGATATATTATTGACAAATAGGGAATTAACAGGGATATCTGGGTGGCTCAGTTGGTTAAGCATCTACCTTTGGCTCAGGTCATGATCCCGGGATCCTGGGATCAAGTCCCACATCGGGCTCCCTGCTCAGCGGGGAATCTGCTTCTCCCTCTCCCCACCGCTTGCCCATGCTCTCTCTCTCAAATGAATAAAATCTTTAAAAAAAAAGGGGGGGATTTACCAGAAGAAACATGTAAGAGAGCTGAAAGTACGTGCCTCTGCCAAGAGGGAAGCTGTGGGGAGGGTGGAGAGGGCATAGGTTGGCCTACTCACTGGACCAATTAAAGTATAAAACAACAAGGGACACCTGGGTGGCTCAGGCGTTAAGCGTCTGCCTTCGGCTCGGGTCATGATCCCAGGGTCCTGGGATCGAGCCCCACATCGGGCTCCCTGCTCCGCGGGAAGCCGGCTTCTCCCTCTCCCACTCCCCCTGCTTGTGTTCCCTCTCTCGCTGTCTCTCTCTCTGTCAAATAAATAAAATCTTAAAAAAAAAAAAGTATAAAACCACAAAATGGACTGTGATCTCTGCCCCTTAGCTACTGCTCCCAGTCAGCACAACCCATCTGTCCTGCTGCTCTAAGCTCATAAAACCATTTTCGCCTCCATCTATTCTCTGAACACAAACTCCCAATACCTACATCTTTGGGATTTCTCTCTGAAGTGGCGTTTCAGGTGCTCGATCAGATGGGAGTGCCGACCGAAGTTTTTCCCGCACTCGGTACACCCGTATGGCCTCTCTCCGCTGTGCACACTGTGATGCTGGACGAGGTGTGAGCTCACGCGGAAGGTTTTTCCGCACACCTGACACTTGTAGGGTTTCTCACCAGTGTGAACTCGCTGGTGCTGAGTCAGATGCACCCGCTGATTGTAGCTTTTCCCACATTCACCACACTTAAACGGTTTCTCTCCAGTATGGATTCGCCGATGTTGAATGAAGTTTGAGGCTTGAAGGAAAAATTTACCACAATCGTTACATTTGTGACCTCTCTCGCCACTTGTGTTGTGCTTACGGTTAACATCCGTGATGGTACCAAGATCTCTTTTCTGGGAAGGGTTCTGCCTTGATTTCCCCACTGCGGGGTTTACCTGCCACCTCTCTACCATGCCATGAAGGTCACTAACTTCTCCAAACCCTTGACTCTGGGGAACATTTCTTTCAGGGCTTCCTGATGTCATCCAGTGGGGTTCAGCGTCATCGGAAATCGGCTTTACAGCGAGTTCCACGTTGTCATGCCCAGATTCGTAATCTGAAAGAAGAGAAGGAAAACGGATTAGCTAGTCCCCATACTGGAAGAAACAAAAAGACTCAGGACGTGGGTAATTATGAAGCCGACATGTGCTAGCACCACAGGACTTGGCATAGGCGGCTTTATGCTCCTGGGAGAGGACAAAGAATCCTCCAGCAGAAACAGGCAGGCTGGGGACAGAAGAGCAGGCAAGAATGTGTCAAACGGATGAAACTGGGAGAGCGGTCCTTCTATTTAGTGAAGGCGATGTCCTCTTGGTGGGGTACTTAACAGTACCTGTTTGTGCACACCTGTGCAATATCAAATTCTTCACAAAATGTGGTATGTATCGGGTTGTGCAGCTAACCCAATTTTCACCTTCTTCTTCCTGTTCATTCATAGCCTGGAGAAGAAAGATGATATTTCCAGCTTTTTTAATCCCCCAAGAATCTCAGTTTGGTATGAATAACTCTAAAGGAAAAAAAGTATTCTTTCTATACCCAGAGAAGAAGCCAGTACTGACGAGCTAGCTTAACACCCAACAGTCATTGATGAATACAGACGCCGGACAAACTGCAATCATCTCCCTATGTAACTGGATCAGCAACCTACATTTCACTTGAAGCACAGACATTTAATATGCTTTGCAGAGACAAATCTTCAGTAATTAAAAAATACAGAATATTATTTTTTATATGCTAGAGAGAGAGAGACCAGGGTCTATTGAGAACTTTCTAATAAGATTTGGGGGGGGGGCACTTGGGTGGCTCAGTCGTTAAGCGTCTGTCTTCAGCTCAGGTCATGGTCCCAGGGTCCTGGGATCGAGCCCCACATCGGGCTCCCTGCTCGGCGGGGAGCCTGCTTCTCCCTCTCCCACACCCCTGCTTGTGTTCCTTCTCTTGCTTTGTCTCTCTCTGTCAAATAAATAAAATCTTAAAAAAAAAAAAAAACCTTTTGTAAACAGCAAGGTTGTTTTCAAATATTACAGAATAATGGCAATGAAAGCTAACATTTGCTGAGTGCTACGATGGACCAGTCCTATAAGTGTTTTACGATTTTATGGCATATAATCCTAACAATGACCTTTTGAGGTAGATACTATTACTAACCTTTTTTTTTTTTTTGACAGAGTGAGAAGTTATAATTCTTATTCCATCAAGAAAACTTGAATTTTAATTTCTTAAAACTCTTTGACCTTAATTCTCTTCCTAAAAAGACATTTTAGCAGGAAAAACAAACATATAATCAAAAAGAATCGTTTTTTCCTCCCCCATTTAAGTAGGCAGGTAATCTCTGTCATCACAGGATTTCTTTTTCTCTTTTACTCACATCTGCTTACGCCCACACATTTTATTCTTACTAGAATTCTCTCCCATCCAACAAGTCAAAAAAGCACATGGTTTTCTTTTTCCAGGGGTGAATTCGAAAAAAAAAAAATCAGATTGGCCCAGTGCACCTCTTTGGTTCTATTAACAATTGCCCTTTTCCTGATAAGGCGATTATATAGGTTGTCACACCAATGGGTTTACAGATTTGCTTTTTCCCTCTTTCCCCACCTCTTTACCACGTACGTGACAAGCTTTCTGTTGATTCTCTTGGTTTATCTGTGTATCTGACAGAAGACTATGCTTCTTGCTCAATGCTCTGCCCAGCTGGTTAGTAACGCAATGGTGGGGGGCAGGGGAGACAAAAACAAATCAGGCAGATTTGGTGCTTTAAAGATTCAGGCTCTTCAACCTCACTGCTGCCCTGTTGGCATTCTATGTTCCTACAGTTGGCTCCTTTCCCCACTCATTTTTCTCATCAGCTATGTCAAAATATCTCCACTATGGCTTCCAAGATATATCACTGTTATTTTAAAATTCCACTAGTGTATGGCATGTTATCATGTTATCATGTTTTGCAAAAACGTGTGTATACAGAATATGCCTAGAGATACAATCCAGAAACTGGTAAGAGTAAACAGAAGATTGAGGAGCAGGGTAGGTGACTCAGTTTTCACTTTATACCCCTTTATACTATTTGAATATGTTTCACTATGTGCATGTACAAGGTTCTCCAACGTATTCGAACCTCTTCTCTGCCACCTACTTCATCACCTGCTCATTCTCAACAGGTGACTGTCTCCTATTTGAAAGAAAGGCAAAGCTCCTTGAACATCCTACAGACCAACCAAAGACTTGCTGGCAGCCTTCCTCTGTCATCCTCCCCTCACCTCATGGTGGAAGAGCTGTCTCTGACCAAGGCCAAGCCTCCCTCCCGGACCCCCGACCTCCCCATGCAATCCTGTTTTTGAGGGATCACCCTCATCAATGATCTCCTCTTCCTTGCCCCAACATTTCAAACTCACTCTTTACTAGTTCTTTTCCAGTAGCATTTAAGTATGCTTAAAACTCTCCCACTGAAAAAGAGAACGTACAGAGGTGCCTGGGTGGCTCAGTCGGTGAAGCATCCAACTCTTAATTTTGGCTCAGGTCATGATCTCAGGGGTGTGAGATCAAGCCCCATGTCGGACACCACGCTCAGCGGGAAGTCAGCTGGAGATTCTCTCTCTCTCCCTCTCCCTTTGCCCCCCCCCATAAAAAAGAAAAGAAAGAAAAAGAGAGCATACAAAACCAATCTAGCCATCTAAGCTATGTACCCTTATAGTGATAAGCCCCCTTTCTCATTTCCTCCACAATGTTCTTGAAAGTTTATCTGTGATGGCTTTCTCAAATTCCTCTCCTTTGCAGTCTTCAAAGAAACTGTCTCTTGTTCCCCAACGTCCTGGACACTCCACTGAAATGGCTGTCTCCAGGATACATCTGTTTTTCTAAAATCTCATTTCTGAATCTGATGGATATTTTTAAAATTCTGACCTTCTCTCTCTTTTTAAAAGATTTTATTTATTTAAGAGGGAGAGCATGAGCAGGGGGAGGGGCAGAGGGAGAGGGAGAGGGAGAAGCCCCACTGAGCAGGGAACTCGACGCAGGGCTCAATCCCAGGACCCCAGGATCATGTCCTGAGCCAAAGGCAGACATTTAACCAACTGAGCCACCCAGGCACCCCAAATCCTGACCTACTCAATGCTATTAGGAACACACAGGCATGAAAATATAATCTATTGTGGCCTCCCCAGAGAAGTTAAGGGGCAGAAATCATCAAATGTGTTCTTAATGTAGAAGTACACTAGAGTTGTAAAAAGAGGTTGTAATGAACAGATGGATTTTTTAAAAAATCGGAAAGGACAAATTTAAAACTGCTTGGAAAACAGTATAAAAAAGAACTGTGCCAAGTTCTGAAAGCCTGACACCCATTAAATGCCTGCAAAGTAACTGAAAAAAAGGAAATACTACCAGGCTCAAATTAGACAAGTGAGGTATTTGAAATTCATTTAAAAAAAGAATGAAAAAATATCTTCACTGCATATAGCATTTGTGCTACATAAGTAATCCCTTGAGATGAAATACCACCAAGATCCCCACAGATAAAGCCGCAGAGAACACATACAAGTAAATCGAAGAAAAGGAAATACAAATATGTATCACTAGTATTAAAAGAAATGGAAAATTTCAGAGAGTAGGAGTCAATTTTATTTTTTAAATAAAAGCCTGCAAGTGAACTAAAACTCTTTAGAACAATGTAAATTGCTATAATGCTTAAAAGAAATTTGGCATTCTATGGGGTTGGCTGGCTCAGAGGAGCACGCGACTCTTAATTTCAGGGTGGTGGGTTTGAGGCCCATGCCTGGTGTAGAGATTAATTAAATAAATCAACTTAAAAAAAAAAGACAGATTTGGCATTATATATGTATTTCATCTAAAGTCTACCAGAGTGCTTGGTATGTGGTGGTTCTTTTAAGAAAATTCATTCAAAAGAAGCTAAAAGCCATATGCTCCAAAATATTTGCTACGGTGCTGAGATTTTTTTTTTAATTTTTTATTGTTATGTTAATCAGGTGCTGAGATTTTTATTAATTTGCTCTAGGCACATAATCGAGTATGAGTTTCCAGGATCATAATTTAGAAACAGGTTCAAAATCTCATTTGGGGCACAAAATTCAAGAAGGGATGGGACATGTAAAATGGAGATGGCAAGGCAAACGTCATGAAAGAAGCACCCATGGTCTGAGAATGGGGACGGAATGAACAACCAGCCACCCATGCACTGGGGAAAAGGGAGATCCTCTAATAACGCAGTTGCCCCTTGAATAACATGAGTTTGAACTGCACAGGTCCACCGACACACCGATTTCTTTGGATACATACGGCCCTGTAAATGCAGTTCTTCTTCCTTACTATTTTAATAGCACTTCCTTTTCTCTAGCTTACTTTCATGTAAGAACACAGTATATGACACATATACAAACTATGTGTTAATCGGCTTCATGGTTTTTCTAAAATTTTTTATTATTTTTTTTTATTAAAAAAAATGGGGGGGCTCTATGTTACCGGAAGGGTTCAGGTCAACAGTAGGCTATGAGTAGTTAAGTTCTGGGGGAGTCAAAAGTGATACACAGACTTTTGACTGCGTGGGGGGGTTGGCACCCCTGGCCCTGTGTTGTTCAAGGGTCAAATGTACTCTAATAAACAGTTACTCAGTGAGGTCGGAGATGCTTTTATTCAGTCAAAAATTATGCAATTTGTCGGGGCGCCTGGGTGGCTCAGTCGTTAAGTGTCTGCCTTTGGCTCAGGCCATGGTCCCAGGGTCCTGGGATTGAGCCCCACATCGGGCTCCCTGCTCCGCGGGAAGCCTGCTTCTCCCTCTCCTACTCCCCGTTTGTGTTCCCTCTCTCGCTATGTCTCTTTCAAATAAATAAATAAAATCTTAAAAAAAATAATTATTCAATTTGTCCAGTAATAGAATCCAATAACTACTACGAATCTGTTAAAACCCAAGCCTGTTAGTTCTGAGCTCTTTTATCTTAAAGCACTAAAACGAGAACATATGCTGGATTGCAAATACTATCCCCCAAGTATCATCAAGACCTCAGTCATACCCTGATGATGACGGAAATGATCAGAATAAGCTGAATAAGAATAAAAAAGGGAATGTCAATTTACTCTTTCACAGAAAAAAAAATAAGCAAAGTCACAGTAATTAAGTCACATACATGCTTTTATCTGATGTGCCAGAAATACTTTTTATAACAAAATTAAGAGGTCCTAATCCAAGCACAGATGAAATCATTCTTACCCATGGAAGTAATACTCCCATAATTCTCCTTCCTGTCATCCCTATAGAGGGACTTCTGGGACTGGTCCAAATGTCCCCATTCCTCCAGGATGAAGGATACAGCCACATCAGCCACATCTTCAATTTTCACCAACTTCTGAAACACGAGATCGCCACTAAATTTCCATTCCCTAGGTTCAAATTTGGAGTGAGGGGAACGATTGGGAGCATGAAGGGAAAAAACAGGAGGGAGGGTCTGTGCTTTAAAGAGGAGAGGGGAGCACCGGGTAGAAGGGAAAGCAACATTCAAGTAGGAACCCCAGAAGGGCCCGGTGTGCAGTGAGAGATAGAACTCCTAGTGGAGATTCAGGATTAGGGCAGCTACTTGTCCAAGAACAGATGTGGGTCCTCACTGCGGGCATGGGACACCGGCTCACCTGGGACCCAGCCGAGAGAAGTGAGGCTGTCAGCTCCTGGCTGTCCTTCCGGGGAAGGGAAGGAACTTGGAGAGCAGGTAGGGCTGAGGGGGGAGAAAAAGAGGTGTCAGTGAGAATATCTTTGCCCAGTTCCGATTGCCATCATGTTCCACTTTCGCTCAAGAATCCACGATGGCGCCTTGCTACAGCAAGGCCAAATTTTTCTGCTTGGCTCTCAAGGCCCTCTGCGTTGTGACTCCTCCCCCACCTAACTACACTCACTCTTCCCGCCGAAAAACTAGACTCCCTGCTTTGGTCAGGCTAATCCCTGCCAGTGACCTCAAGACTGTGCCAGTCCCCTGTAAAGGATGCAATTTGCTCTGCCAAGATCAAATCTAGTCATCTCAAAGATTAACCAGTCCCATAGCTTCCACGAAGCTGAAGCGCTACTGAGAGCCCAGGGCTTCTCAAACTTTAATGCGCACACAAATCATGTGGAGGGCTTGGTACAGGGCAGATATGGCTCAGCAGGTCTGTGGTGGCCCCCATATTCTGTACCTCTAACAAAGCCAGGTGATTCTGGCGCTGCTCCTTGAGCCACGCTTTGACTAGCAAGGTCTTAGTCCACATTCTCTTCCTTCCAGAAGCTACTATGGTTGATGGAGAGTCAGGCAATTAGTAATGCACTAAATCTACATCGTGTGTTATAAGAACAGGCAGATAAAGCAATTCTTGCCTTTCAAAAACTTCACTGTCTAGTGGGGAGAGCAGACATGTAAGCCTTACTTCCAGCACAGGGAAAGGGTAATATACTTGAAATTCACCCAAGTTCCCACAGGAGCATGGAAACAGGGGCACCTCCAGGGTGGAGAGGGAGAGGTGGGGGCATCGGCAAAGTCTTTCCACAGGAAGTGACTCTGGTAAGTAGGGTTGGGGTGGGTTGGGGGGATGAGGGTGCTCTCTGGGCAGAGTGAATGGCATGTGCAATGCCTGCAGGGTCTGATCTCTAGATGTTGGTGACCCGCTGACCCCTGCTGTGTCACCTCCGCTTGTTCTTTGTGCGAGACTGGTGCTGCATACGGTCTCATTGTCTATATATGCCCTGATCTGGACAGATCCACCTGGTATTAATCTTTAACCTGACAGTTTAGGATGTTGCTATGGTTTCCCTGGTCCTGAAGATGTATGTGGTTATGCAGCGTGCTTCTGTCCAAGGACTAGGAAGTAATTAGCAATGACACAAAAAGAAAGACATCATGGTTAGAGACGAAAGCCAGAAACAGAGATGGCAGCTGAAACAGGACTCAAAGAAAGGCACGAATGTAGTCTGTACTTAAACAGTGATTTTGATTTTGAGTATAGACTACATTCCAATTACAACTGGAATAATTATAATAATTACACTCCAAACAATACCACTTATTTTATGAAGTTCCTGTAAAACCTTTGGTTTCTTTAGCTTTTCTGCCAATGACTTCGCCCTTCCCACGCTGGAATTAGTCCCAGAGACAGAAAACCAGCCTTCGGTGCTATGAAGGGCACGAGGAATGCAGCCGTCCCCAGTGCACAGAAATTAAAAACTGAAACAAACCTCGTAATTTGGTTGGAAGAAAGGAACTGGCTGGGTCTAGCTAACAGGGCAGAGAAGAGCAGCAGCACCTAGGGACAGAAGGAAGAGCAGCCTAGCATGAGGAGACTCCGGCAGCAGAGGTAGGAGGACAGGAGTCTGCACTTGGGGGGGGGGCTGCAGGAAAGGCCAACGCAGCACAGCTCGGACTGGGGTAGAAGGATAAATGCAGAGCTGGATTGCTGGGCTTACAATCCCAGCTCAGTCACTGACAGCTCCGTGACCCTGAATGAATTACCTAACCTGACTAGGCCTCAGTTTCTTAATTTCTAACATGAGGATAACAGTAGTACCTATTCTATTGGGTCAGTGTGGGCCTTAACCCTTGCTATGCCGACTAAGTGTATTAGACACAATTTGGGGTTTGGCGTTTCTTTTTTAAACAGTGTTAACTCGGGACGCCTTGCTGGCCCAGTCGTTAAGCGTCTGCCTTCGGCTCGGGTCATGATCCCGGGGTCCTGGGATCGAGCCCCGCATCGGGCTCCCTGCTCGGCGGGAAGCCTGCTTCTCCCTCTCCCCCTCCCCCTGCTTGTGTTCCCTCTCTCGCTGTGTCTCTCTCGGTCAAATAAATAAATAAAAATTTTAAAAACAAAAAAAAACAGTGTTAGCTATTTTTTTTTTCAGTGTTAACTATTTTTAAAGGCTGGAATTATATGACTTTTATCCCTTTAGAGATCTTCTGAAGAAGAAAAAGAAAATTTATTTTAGTATTATTAAAAAATAGAGTACGACTCATTCTGTCTTGTCATTTCTATATGGATCCACTGGCCTCTTCTACACATGTAGGGTACATTTTGAGATCTGAGTGATCTTATTTTTCCTGTATCATAAAACATTTTCCTAATTCATCATCCTAGGAATTACCACATATTTACCAATCATTACTCATTAATTATTCCCAATGATAGCAGAAAAAACTAAAATAGTAAGAAAACAGGAGAATAAAATAGTAAGAAAACAGGAGAATAAAAAACTAAAATAGTGAGAAAACAGGAGAATAAAGGAAATAAATAAACAGGAGAATACTTAGGATGATGATGTAAGAGTAAAATAAATCATCGTTCTTCACTAGTGTCCAAGTGTTAAATTCATTGCCCAGAGTTGTGCAGCATCTTCAAGAAGGTATAAGACTATTGACACCTGCTTTTAGCTTTCATTGAGCATAGTTGTGAATTCAGAATTTTGCATTTTCCACCCCTATTAGCAAAGAGAAAAAAATGTGCAGGAAAAGACACTTCACTATTACTAGATTAGTAAGAAGACGATGTGAAGAGACGGAGCAGTGGATTCCACACGGTAATGATGAGACTGAAGCCGAAGGGCAAATCTTTGAAGGAGTCTACAAACAATATCAGGGGTAAATTTTCTCAAACATAACAACCAACGATAAACACTCTGATTTCTAATTTCAAAAAGGAAATATGACATTCTCATCCACTGAATTATTCAACAGGAAGGACTTCATGAGGCAAGATTTTGCAACAAGATTCTGGACCATCCCATTTTGTGAAAAGGACAGTATTCATTTTTCTAAAGGGAACAGGGACAGTACTGTGTAACGGTATTCTTTCATTTTTTTACAACGTTTCTATTATCAAAATGTACTTGATATAAAGAGGTTCTTATCAAAATTTCCTTGAGAATTATTTTTTATTATCCTTTGATTCTTCCGTAAATGACTCATAAATAACATACACATGATAACATATATAAAGTAAAATAACAAATAATATAATAAAATAAAAGAGTAAATATATATGTATAAAATAAAGGATCCCTTGGCCCCGGGTGGTAAACAGTGAAGACTGTTTTTTCTGGTACACTGAGGGCTTAATGAATTCCAACAAGTAAAGCACCTGGGACACTTGCCGACACCCAGTAAACTCATATAAGTAACACTTCTGTTATCGTTACCACAGTGAAAGGAAAGCTGGAGAAGGTCAGAGCCGTGGGGCATGTGAAATGGAAGGCCTGACCCCTAAGGGGAGAACAGAAGCAAGCCTGGGGGCGAACCTGGAACACAGGTTCTCCACATTCTGAAATCCCCAAGCTCTCAATACCAAAGGCCTTCCTCTCGTTAAGTTACACACTGAACTAATTTGACAGCAAAACCTGACCAGAACTGATGGGAAGCTCTCTAAAGTTTTTATTTAATCCACTCACTGTACAGCTGCATACATTTCACTAATGTGTGTCACTGTGGAGTCCCACCTCAAATCCTGCTGGTACTGTACTATATGGTATATAAATCCTATTCCCTTAATAAATCTGAAAATTTCTGAATCCTAAGATATATCTGATAGAGTTTCTGATGAGGATTGAAGACCTGCGGACATGTGCGTCATAAATAAGGTACGCAGTTCACTTTCTCCCTTCCTGTGTCTAATCCAAGTTAATAAGGTGGAGAGGCGGGTAGGGGACGAGAGAGAGAACAGTCGCTCTAAAGGTCACTGTGAGGCACTGTTTGAAATAAGATTTCAAGGTGAACGACTGAGCAGCCAGAAACGAGCACAACCGGGAACGGGAGTGCTCTTCTTACACCAGCCGTTAAGACGACAAAATCGACGAGGGGGAGCCGGAAGGCTGTCGTAAAGCAAGTGCGACGCTTTCGTAAAGGACTCCCGTAGGTCTTCTGACAGTCCCTGCATTTAGAGCTGTCGTCGTGACGACAGCTTTGCAACGGAACCATGGTGCACAGCCTAGCCTTCCCACGAGCTGACCTCTCTCCGAATGCCAGGGACTAGATGCCAAGGCCCCAGCCCCTCCCAAGCTCCCGATCCTGCTGACTGCAGAGTGGCTGCCCAGCCCGAAGTCTCACACAGATACCGCTTACCCACGTGGCCAGGGCACCCACTTCTAGCCACATCTGTTCCACCGAATCACACGTCCTCACCATTTTCCTCCAGGAGATGAGGCTTCTGTGGCTCCTGTTCAGACTGGGGGTCCGCAGACAGGAGCTGGTGGCTGAGGGACTCCTGCACAACTCCAGGTGGCACCATCTTCTGAGGAAGCACTTCAGGACACACCACGATCTAACAAGCACAACCACACCAATCAGCACATTGCAGGGAGGGCTATGGAAGAATCCAGTAAATTCCCATTCTTCTTCCATTCACTCTTTTGCCAAATATTTAATGTGCATCTACAATGAGCCAAGCAAACTGACTACACAGTGGCTTAATAAACACAGTCTCTTTCTAGGTGAAGATGGCTCCCATTAAACATATCCACGCACAAATACATAATTACAAACTGTTATAGCTCAGAAAGGAGAAGAAAGCAGTGCCTTAAGACAGAACAGATGAAACTACTTTAGAGAGGGTGGCCAAGGCAGGCTTTTCTGAGGAAGTGTCGCTTTAAGTAAACACCTAAAGGGCAAAAGAAGCCCGCAGGGAAAAAAGTCAGAAGTGTCCAGGGCAGAGAGAACGACATAAGCAAAGACTCTCAGGCAGAAACAGGTATCTGGTACAGTCAAGAAACCATAAGAAAGCCAGGGTGGGCCAAGTTTAGTGACGGGGGAGAGAAGTGAGAAGGGAGGTTGCAAAAGCCAATATAGGACACAGGAAGCCATACTCAGCTCGTAGTGGACCCCGTTCAAGTAGGACAGACCAACACCGAGACCAGGGCTAGTTCTTGTCTGACCTGCTAAGTACTCCATCTTTCTGTTCTGGGCTCTCGGTCAACCCTAGGGGACACACAATTACCCTGCCACAACCAGTCTCCACAATCCGTCTTTTCTGGAAGGTACTAGCTCAGCAGCATCCTAGCAGATACTAAAATCCTGCCCTGAAAGAGAACTGCCATCCCCCTCTTCCCGTCCCTTAGGTTTCAAAGCACTTTAAATCCTAACCCTCTTAGCACTGGCAGAAGTGGAACAGGAGTTACATCAGCAGGTGGCTGCAAAACAGTTGCGATCATTCTGCATGGAAATTTGTGTGTCCTTGTGGACCCGCTCAGGATAAGAGTTAAGATGATGCCAAGTATGTCAGAGGGCACATTGGCACGGAAAAGCAAAGCAGCCTTGAGGTCCCCTGACACTAGGACAGAGAAACCAAGGAGGAGGGGTAAAGGATAAAGCCTGGGAAAAGGCCTGCCAGAGACAAAAACCGCCTGGAGATAAAGCTGAGGAACAATGTTGGGGATATAGACGACAGGCAGAGAGAAAGGCAAACAAAGTGAGCTGTGGAGGCCCTTAAGAAAATCCCCTGTATGGGCCTCAAATCCCTGACTACCACTAGGAAATTATTTTTCTCTGTGTCCCTTCGAAAGATGGGCTGCATATCACAATGAGAGAGGTAAATAGCAACTGTAAATCCTGTTTCAAAAATCCTGTTTTTAACTGTACTTCTGAATATTTATTACTATAAAAAAAAGTAGGGAGGGCGCCTGGGTGGCTCAGTTGGTTAAGCGACTGCCTTCGGCTCAGGTCATGATCCTGGAGTCCCGGGATCGAGTCCCGCATCGGGCTCCCTGCTCGGCGGGGAGTCTGCTTCTCCCTCTGACCCTCTTCCCTCTCGTGCTCTCTCTCTCTCATTCTCTCTCTCTCAAATAAATAAAATCTTTTAAATAAATAAATAAATAAATAAAAAGTAGGGAAAAGTTTGTTCGTTAAATGTCCCAAATTAGGCTTAAAAAAGGAATAACGAGATGTCACCATGAACCTTTACTTTCTGTCCTGATGGAGGCAATAGAAAGGTTCAGACATTCCCATCTGGAGGACAATCATTTGGCCTGGCTGAGGGTCAGCAGCAATTCCCTCTGCTGCCCACTTGCCTCATGGAGTGAATTAAACTAGCTGAAGAGCCTAATGATGTTCTGGAAGGCTGAAGTACCCCTTACCCAGAGATGAAGAATAATGAGACTGGGACCTTACAATGAAGTGCAATGGCTCTCAAGAATGAGGGAAGGGCACCTGGGTGGCTCAGTTGGTTAAGCATCTGACTTTGGCTCAGGTCATGATCCCAGGGTCCTGGGATCGAGCCCGATGTCAGGTTCCCCGCTCAGCAGGGAGTCTGCTTGTCCCTCCTCTTCCCCCTGCTCACGCTCTCTCTCTCTCAAATAAATAGAATCTTAAAAAAAAAAAAGAGGGAAATTCTCCAACTAGCTTCAAACTCTTGTGACCTAAGCTCTCATGATTTTGTTTCTTTGCTCAAAAAAAAAAAAAAAAAGGCTTAAGAGAGTGTGACCCTAGCAACAAGAAGGTAGAGGGTCAGGTTATAAATGAGAAAAGAAAAGACAAGAAGATATAGCAACATAAAGACATCGATCCTCTCTAAATTAATACATGATTTACTGGATCCCCCCTCCAAAAAAAACTAACAGGATTTTTGGAGTGGTGAAAACTTTAATAAGTAATTCTAAAGTTCATAGGGGGGCACCTGGGTGGCTCAGTTGTTAATCGTCTGCCTTCGGCTCGGGTCATGATCCCAGGCTTCTGGGATCGAGCCCTGCATCGGGCTCCCTGCTCCGCGAGAAGCCTGCTTCTCCCTCTCCCACTCCCCCTGCTTGTGTTCCCTCTCTCGCTGTGTCTCCCTCTGTCAAATAAATAAATAAAATCTTAAAAAAAAAAAAATAAAGTTCATAAGGAAAAAAGAAAATATTGAAAAAAATCTGGAAGGGGGGAGGGTAGCCCTATCAATACCAAAACCCTTTACAGAGCTCAAGTAACTCAGATACTGACATATTAACAGGTAATAAGGTCAATAAAACAGAAATAAAAGGACCATAAATAGACCCAAATACATGCAGAAATTTGGTATGTAATAAAGATGGCATTTTAATGAGAGGAAAAAAGGGATTACTATAAGTTGCTGGGCCAACCGGATAGACATCTGGGGAAAGAAAGTTACAACCGTATCAAACACCGTGCACCAAAAAAATAAATAAAAATAAAAAAACTGAGAAGAGACTATTAGAAAATTTTCTTATAATATTGTAGTGGAGAAGACCTCTCTAAGTATGGCACAAAACCCAGAAACCATAAATTAAAAGATATAAATGGACTACATAAAAATTAAAAACCCTGCAAAATAAAAATCTCCACAAGCGAAGCCAAACAAAGTGGAAAAATAAACTTGCAACTCGGATGACAGACACACTGCTTACTTTTTTCAAATAGGTAAATAATGTAAACAGATAATTCACAAAAAAAGGTAGACACATAGGGCGCCTGGCTGGCTCACTCAGTGGAGCATGTGACTCTTGATCTCAGGGTTGTGAGTTCAAGCCCCACACTGGGTGTAGAGCTTACTTTAAAAAAACAAAACAAAACAAAGGGTACACACATAGCCCTTTAAAATACATACTGAGGTCAAACTCACTCATAATATGAGAAATGCATACTAAAATTGCACAGAAATGGAATATTGCATCTTTCAGATTAGCACTAACAAAAAGTTGGATAACATCACATTATCAGGCTGTGAGCAAAAAATTCTCTCACACCCTGCAGTAGGGAGAAAAAACTGGAATAAGCTCTACCGAGGGCAATCTGTCAACAGCTGTCAAAATTACCAATGCATATGGCCCCCGAGCCAACAATCTGACTTCTTCTCAGCATTTATTCTATAATTAATAGTGTATGTAAAAGACAGTCATTGCAGCTTGTTACAGTAAAAGTTCAGAAACATCCTAAAGGAATGACTTAAATGGCTTTCAATGGGAGTTAAATTATGGTACATCCATCCACACAATGGACTATAACACAGTTTCAGAGAGTGAGGCAGGATGCTTGCACGAACATGGAACACACCAAGATACGAGAAAAAAGCAAGAGGCAGAAGCGCACAGTGATTTAAACACATCTGTGTTTTCTTAAAGCATGTCATCTACACATATGCTTATAGAGAGAGAAGAGAATCTATCTCTGTAAAGGACATACAGGTATCAGGTGACAGTGGCTGCGTCTGAAGAGAACTAGGCAGCCGGGGAATTGGGGGCAGGAGGAAACTTACTTTTCATAACAACCTTATGCACCTTTTGAATTTTGTATCATGTCATTCAAAAAACAGAAAAGAGTAATTTTAAAAAAATAAATAAAATCGCTGACTGTCTTCTCCAGATTAACACACTGGACACTGCTTCTCTTTGCTGGAGTGGCAGGAAATCTCCACAGTGTACCTAATCCCAGGAGAACAAAAGAATATGGATGAAGCACCAGAGCTCAGAGGATCTCACCCCTGCTCAGCAGCACTAACTCTCTTCCTCTCCTTCCTCATTGCTCCGATGTCTCCCCCTTTCGCTCACCTGTTGTCTGCGTTCCTCCAGTTCTTTCTGAATATTTTCTACCACAGCCACAGCCTCTTCTCCACTCTCCGGGTGATGTTCTCTCACCCAGGCCTGGAACTCTTCAGGGAGGATGGTCAGGAACTGCTCCAGCACCAGCAGCTCCAGGATCTGCTCCTTGGTGTGCAGCTCGGGCCTCAGCCACTCGCAGCAGAGCACCCGGAGCTGGCTCAGGGCCTCCCGGGGGCCGGAGGCCTCATGGTACTGGAAGTGCCTGAAGCGCTGGTAAAAAGTCTCAAACACTGGAGGATTGTACTCCTGCATCCACGTGCAGTCTTCTTCTTCCACCTTCACTATGAGAAAGTCTTCTTGCTCCTGTGAAGTCTCAGCTGGAGGGTCTAAGTCTATAACTTCCCCAGACTCTGTCATTATCATTCCAACTCAGAGGGAGGTCTCTCCAGGTTAGCTGTCACAGATCAAATCTGTTTTCTGCCCTTTAAGATCTTCTGAAGGGCACTTCCATTAGTGTGCAACCTACTGATATATTGGAAATCATTATTAGCAAAGAGATGACAAAGAGGTCATCGATACTAAAGACCACTCAACAGTGCCATTTACTTTAAAATATAGACTACAAGACAGCCGTCACTCCACCCATCACATTACTAATAGAGAATATTTCCAACATTTAAAAAATGTAAAGAAGAGCAATAAAAATCTGACATCAGGCCTAACCGAATACAATTTTAATGGTGAGGAACATGACATTTCATATAAATAATAGGACAAGACTTACTAACTAGTCCAGACGCAGTCTTTGCTTTTCTCTACCACAAGCCAAACTTAAGTCAAAACAGGGGTCAAAAACATTACAACGGCCAAAACGGGTCCTGTCCTTCATGACACAAGAGCATGACAGACCAAGAGGAGACTTCATTAGTCCCGAAGAGAAGCACAGTTATAAGTACAGATTTGGACCTGGATTCTTCAGAAGCGCCCCTGGCCCCATAGTCACGGAAACCGGGCAGGTCAAGGTTAGAGACAGGACCCCCGTCTGGACACAAAGCCCATCCCCTTTCCTCCAGGCACCAGTCCCGGGGACCTCTCCTGCAGACCAAGCTCCCGCAGCCACGCTTGGGAAGATAGGTTTCTTCCCGCAAACGGAGAGAAAACCGAAGCCGACACTTCGCAACACTTCCTCGCCGGAAGTAAGCAAGTCCAAGCTTTCCCTGTCCAACGGGGTCGAGCCATCAATCCCACCGCCGAGAGCACTTCCGAGTCCTCTCTAGGAATCCCGGAGGTCCTCGCCCCGCAGCGGGCGGGAGCTGCCCGCCCCAGACCCCGCCCCCGAGGAATTGTGGGCCAACCGGCGGGGAGTTGGGGTGCCTCCGGGACGCGGCTGTTCCCCGCCCACCGAGCCGCCGGTTCCGCGCCACCAGAGCCGGGAAGGAAACGGAGCCGGCTTCTCTCCACCCGAGCCCAAAGCCATTTAAACAGCCCGGGCTCCTCCCCTTTCCTTGGAGTGGGGGCAAGGGACCGGGCCTTAGCTGTCCGGAGTGGTTGCTAAGGCAAGAGTTGCTAATGTCTGATTGGCCGTAGAACTTGCGCTCCCCCACCCCAACGCTCTGTGCCCCACTTCCAAGTAGGTTCGCCCCTTCCTGAGGGCCCGCAACCCTAATTTCTCTTTAATTTTAAATCCTTCGTTTTTTTCCACCTGCATCCTCGTCCCTCCCTGCACCCCGTCTCCAGACACACCCACCTCCTCTCACCGCCGCAGTGCTCACGGGGCCGAAATCACCGACGTCAGACACCGAGTCGCAGGAGCCTACAACTCCCGTAAAGCCCCGCGCAGGCCACGCCCGCTAGCCAATAGGGCCACGGGTCTCTTTGCGGCCTCGGTCTCGAGAGCCTATCAGAATGCGGGAGGGTAAGGAGGCGTTTCTTCGAGCGCCTCCGCCGGGCAGGCGGATGGTGGCGGAGTGGGTTGCTCTCCAGGCTGGGGAGAGTGGAGTTGGGAGCAACGCATTCCTGCGAAGTAGAGGACTCGTCTATGCAGGGCTTCTCTAGCCAAAGGGATGCCCTTCTTAATAACCTCTCGTTTGTGTATGTGTTTACAAACGCCTAAATTGACACTGCGGTATGTCTGCTGTGGTTTCACTTTTTACATTTACTTTGCGTATACTCACTTTTAAACACTGAGGCTTTGGTCCGTTCAAAATTATCTTGGTGTATGGTGTCAAGTATAGCTCTAACTCTGTCTTTTTCCAAATCGCTACCCAGTTGTCTCATCATTTATGACAAAGTGTCTTTACCTCCCATTGATTTGTGATGCTGCCTTTATCATACACTAAATCCTCGTGTTTTGTGGTCTATCTCTACATTTTCTATTCTGGTGCAATGTTCTATCCCTGTGATAATATGATGTTTTCATTTATTGAGGATCAGTCATTGGTTTTAATATCTCTCTTTTTTAAAGATTTTATTTATTTGACACAGAGAGAGAGAGCACAATTAGGGGGAGCGGCAGGCAGGGGCAGAGGGAGAAGCAGGCTCCCCACTGAGCAAGGAGCCAGATGCGGGGCTAGATCCCAGGACCCTGGGATCATGACCTGAGCCAAGGCAGATGCTTAACCGATTCAGCCACCCAGGCGCCCTTGGTGTTAATACCTCTTAGGGCAAATGTCCCCTGTTCTGTTTCTTCTTCGAGGTATTTTTGCTTCTTTAGTTCTTTTCCAAATTTAACTTTAGATTCAGTTTTTCTAGTTCCAGAGAGAAGTCTCTATTGGGATCATTTTTAATTTATATTCACTTAGAATTGACATTCTTATAAAGTTGATTTTCCTAGCCAAGAACATGGTATGTTTTTCCGTTCGTGGGGGAAGAAAGCCTAATTTTGGATCCTTCAGGAGTGTTTTAGTTTTCTTCATATATTTTGCACATAGCTTGTTACGTTCATTCCTAAGTATTTTATCTTTTTTGTTAAAATTGTGAATTGAGGGGCGCCTGGGTGGCTCAGTTGTTAAGCATCTGCCTTCGGCTCAGGTCATGGTCCCAGGGTCCTGGAATCAAGCCCCTCATCGGGCTCCCTGCTTGGCTGGAAGCCTGCTTCTCCCTCTCCCACTCTCCCTGCTTGTGTTCCCTCTCTCACTGTGCCTATCTCTCTGTCAAATAAATAAATAAAATCTTAAAAAAAAAAGAATTAAGAACATTTTTAAAAAATGTGACTTGAGTTACTCTGGTTTTTAAAAGTATGTCTGTTAGTTTTTGTTGCATAAATAAACCACATCAAACTTAGTGACCTAAAAAAGCAACCACTTATTTTGCTTATGACTCTGTGGGCTGGTGATTTGGTCCACGCATAGCTGGGTGACTTTTCTGCTGGGCTCCTTTTGTCTGTGGTCAGCTGTGGGTGAGATAAGCACTTCTCCTTCTGGGGATTGGCTGATTGTCAGTTGGAGTGCTAGGAGGCATGTGGGCCACACGTTTTCCATCACCTGGCAGCCTAGCTCAGACTTGTTCACTTGGTGGTGGCAGGTTACAACAAAAGCAAGAGACCAGAAGTTGCAAAGGTTCTTGATCCTGAGGCTTGAAACTCAGACAGTGTCACTTCCGCCGCATTCTGTTGGTCAGATCACGCCACAAGACCAGCCCAAATTCAAAGGGTGGGGAAATAGACTCCACTTCTATTCAACGGAAAGACTCCAGTCCCTCAGGGAGGAACTGCAAAGTGTATTTCTATTCTTTTTGTTTTACTTTCTTGGCCATTTTTGCAATATACCGCAATAAGATACTATCAAGAGGAGAGAAAAGGGTCATGATCCAGTTAGTACTGGAAATGGACTTTTCACATAACCATCAGCCTGCATGGCAGGGTAAAAGGTCTGGAAAGAGCTGCACTTTGAATTTTGTCTTTATATTAAACCAGACCTTCAGAGAGCTGAATCTTAAACCACACTCTTTTTCTTCCTTCACAGAATTAGCTCTTTTGAATTGTGCTTTAGTACTTGTCATCAGCTAACATTGAAAGGGCATTAAAATCCATTAATTTTATCTATTACAGAGATCTTAAGACACTGTCCACTATGTCACACAGTGTCCTTTTCCTGGGCAGTCATGGGAAATTTCTCTTCCCACTTGGTATCAAGAATAGCTGGATTTCTCCTAAGCTACTATTAATAGTTTGCTTTTACCCAAGGCACGCTGCATATCATGTAACTGATCTTGTTTTCCTCTTGCATTGGCAGCTGAGGCTTTTCGGAGCCAAATTGTGAGCTATCTTTTGCCAGTACACAGGAGTTTACAGTAGGCAACTTGTAATCTCATTTTATCCCTGGCCCCATTTATCCTTGCCCTATTTTTAAATTATTTTCCCAATTCTTTTTTTGAAGGTGAGACAGTATGTCATGATTAGAGCCCATAGTCACACGACCCAGAGGCAGGAGCTGGTAGAACCTGACTGGTAATCAGCTGGTGAGCAGACCACCTTGATGGGAGGGGATGAGATATGCTTGTATTGCCCTCACAGTACTTGCTATTCACTTCCAGATTCCATAATTAGTTATATAAATGGATATTTTCTGAAGCTAGGTTTGCCTGTACTTAGGAATTTGCATTCTGTCCTTAATTCCTTTGCCCATCCTTGGCCACGTGGCCCTACTGGAAGCCTCATCCTGCAATACTGGGGAAAGAACTTTTGACTTCCTGCTGGATTGTGATAACATTCCCACAGAGATGAATAAGTAGACTCATACAAAGTTTCTACCTTCCAGGGACTTTCAGACCATTTGGAGAGATCAGATATAAAGTGGGACCAGGGGCGCTTGGGTGGCTCAGTTGGTTAAGCGACTGCCTTCGGCTCAGGTCATGACCCTGGAGTCCCGGGATCGAGTCCCACATCGGGCTCCCTGCTCAGCAGGGAGTCTGCTTCTCCCTCTGACCCTCTTCCCTCTCGTGCTCTCTGTCTCTCACTCTCTCTCTCTCTCAAATAAATAAATAAAATCTTTAAAAAAAAATAAATGTGGGACCAGTTATGTCATTAAATTATTTATATATTGCTCCAAATTTCTAGAATGACAAACCTGAGCCTTGAGAATAATGAAGTTGTTTTTCTAGAGGTGGATTTGTCATAAAGATAAATCCTGAAAAATCTGCCTTTGCCTCTTTCATGGCCTGTTAATGTCTAACCAAAACAGATCCCAGACTAGTACAGCCACTTACCTGCTAAAGCATAAAGTAGGGGTTGACTCCCTGTGCTTTTGCACAACTTTTGGATAAATCATTAGCTTGTAATTTAAACTTTAGTCCATAGAGATGTCTTATGGAATTCTGACCTTGCTTGGGACTTGGCATTCATAAATCAGGATATTAATTGTACTCATTTAAATAGATAAATTTTTAAAATGAATTTACCTACAACATATAATTTGGATAATTCTTCACTTGTTAAATAAATAATGCAGATGATTTCATGTAAATGTTAAACCAATGCACAGTATTTTTTCATTTCAATTGCATGATTTGTCTTCTGAACGTTGTTAAAGTATAAATGGATATGAAACATGTAAAACATGACTATTGTATTTTTATTATATATTGTTTCTTGAAGCAAGAAAAAAACCACTAGAAAAATCTTTCTCTATTAAATAGCTAGATTGTTTTCTGCTTCTGACTTTTCTGACTACATGGGATCCAAAGGTTAAGCTCTTTCCACGATACTTAAATAAGTCTTCGGTTTTTATATTTTCAAACACACTATAATGAGCTGCAGTCACATAATAGAGTCCTGGAGTCAAAATCATATCATCATAACATATTTTTAAATAAAGTTTAAAAATGACCAAATTTCCTGTTGCAAACTGAATTAAAGTTTAGTTCAAATGCTTGGAGGCAAGATACCTGCGGTGGATCTCCATTCCTTCCACAGTTTCCCCTGAAATACAACTCTGCTTCACATTGTCACACAAAATATTTATGTGTCCCGATAAGGACAAAGGTAATCTATTTACACACACTATTTAAATTTTGTACTGGTCAGAAATGTTCATCTGATCACTGCTTCTCAATTCATGTGTATACAAATCACCTGGGGATATTTTAAAAATACAGATTCTGAGGTGCCTGGGTGGCTCAGTCCGTTAAGCCTCTGCCTTCAGATCAGGTCTTGATGCCAGGGTTCTGGGATTGAGCCCAGCGTCAAGCTCCCTGCTCAGCCAGGAGCCTGCTTTTCCCTCTCCTGCTCCCCCTGCTTGTATTCCCTCTCTCGCTCGCTGCCTGTCAAATTACATAAATAAAATCTTTAAAAAATAA